CTTGAGTCTGGATATGTTTTCTTGAATATCGAAATCTGCGGACTCGATTTCTATTTAATATCAAGTGTCGATTGATTTTAGCTCTTGACATTTTTACACAGAATAAATCACAAAAGAATTTGTTCACGCAAGAGGTTAGCTTAAATTTTATTAACTCTTCCAAGATTGACAGTAAAGATACAACGATGAACTTCCTTTATTTTTTTTCGAATACTTTGACTGTATTACATCAATGTAGTTTCAATAGAGGGAAAAATGAACGAGTGACTAAAAATACACATGCTCTTTCAATGTATAAATGACAGTCAATTTGTCAAATATATAAGATGAAGTTGGCTATAAATGAATAATTATTGAATAAAAAGTGCATTGTTTCATTTCGATACCAGTACGCATATTCTAAGTACTAAACTATAAAAAATCTCTTTCAGAATGCATTGATATGCATAGACTCATGAGTCTATTGATTGGACGTTTACAAAAATTCTTATTATCTGTCACAGTAAACACAAGAAATTACAATTATTTTTTGAATCATATAACAGATTGTACAGTAAAAAGCTATTACGCAATCAGACTTTGAAAAGCTGTAAGAACCTCATGCGGGAGTTTCTCGATGCTGTTGGATGCCAAAGACTGTTGCAAAGTGATCGCCATTTCCTTCGCAGCTTTTAGGAAATCAGGATGAGTGTTTTTGTACTTCTGCAGGAATGACAGGCTTTGGTTCAAGTGGAAAATCTTCCCGAAAGTACACTTTCCCCTATAAATGATGAGAAATAATGGTGGCGACAATTATAAAGTAAAATGAATTCCTTACATTTTTTGTTTGAAAGTTGTGTTGTAAAATTCCACCCAAGCGAATTTCTCTTCAACTGCAATAATTACTGCTGGCCACTCCACGAATCCCTTGACTTTGGCAAAGCAAAGATCACCTTCCTTAAATGGTTGTATTTTTTGTTTTTCAATTGTGGTTTCACTTGTTTTTTTATATTTTGCTGGTTTAGTTATTTGTTCAAAACTTCTAGCAGGGCGTTTACTCGCTCTTGTCGAACTTGACGCGTGTAACAAAACGCCATTCTTCTCATCTAAAAAAAGTGAACATTTACTTTGAGCGTACACATTTATTACATTTACATTTTATGGTACCCACCATCGGATTTGCTTGAACGAAGAAAATGATTCTTGCCCATGGTCTCGTTCGTTGTGAGTACTCCATTGGCGGCTTTGCCAGTAGCTCCTGCAAGAATATTTTCGATTCAGTATAAGATACAAGATACCTCCAACGTTTATGGTTTATGCTCAAATCAAATGCATATTCAATGAAAGAGCGCTGTTCGAACAATTCCAATTTATACCTACCATCGGACTTGGTTGAACGCAGACGATGATTCTTGCTCATGGTCTCGTTCGTTGTGACCGGTTCATCGTCAGCTTTGCCAGAAGCTCCTGCAAGAAAATAATTGAATCCAAATTCACTATGAGGTACAAGCTAACCGCAAATTTCGTGTTTCATGTTCAAATCAAATAGATACAAATACATGCA